CCCCCCCCCCCCCCCAGCAGAGGCGGTGGCATCTATGGCCAGCAAGAGGGCTCTCATGGACACCTGGCCTGGCAGACAATCTCAGTTAGCCATGGTTTCATCTGGGAAGGCCACAGAGACATCTTCCACTGTGATGCTGTCCACAATGGAGGTGAGAGAGTGCAGGTTGTGGGCGTCCGTGGGGTCAGCTGTGAGCAGGTGATCTGGAAGGAGAAGGTGGGGGGATGTCACCTGGGTGAAGAAGGGAGTTTCAAGACCCAGCACAGGGAATGCAGTCTGTGGGGGTGGCACAGGTTTCCCAGGACAGATGAGTAAGCCAAACTCAAGAATCCTACCTCCTAGCCCATGCCTCTCCTAGTGCCGTGCGTGTGTGTGTGTGTGTGGACGCGCATGTGCATGTATGCGTGTATGAACACTGAACACGTGCACCTTCTCTCTGAGCTCCCCTAGTGGGGTTAGCATTTGAAAGCAGCTACTCTGAGGTGGAGCCAGGGCGGCGTATCCTGGGAGACTGGGACTGTCCTTTGCTGGCCAGGTTTTGCAGCACTGACTCAGCAATTCCCAGGGACCCCTGGGGCAGGGACATTCCCCTCTCCATGGAGAAGGTCAGGCACCAGGCATAGGCCAGGGAGCTGCAGGAGGCCTAGACCGCTCCTTAGCTGGTCAAGGTCTCAGGGAGGCACAGGGCCTCGCAGCCCACCATTTGGGGCTCCGGGAGCAGCAGTTCCCTGGAGAAGCCAAAGGCAGAGGACTGGAGCAAGAAGTAAGGTAAAAGGAGTCAATTGGGCCTAGAGACAGTCTGATGGGGTCGAGCCAAGGTTATGAGGGTCCGGGGCTCACTTACCCCCGGTGTTGGGACCAAACTCCAGGGTGGTGCCCCACTCTGGACTGCAGGAGGCGCTGTGGGAGCTGCATTCACTGGGCACCTGCAAGACAGGGTGAAGGCCCAAGGTCAAAGCATGGCCATTTTTGATGGTGTCTGTCTGTCCACTTCCAATGGGCAAAAGCTCCCGTTGTGGGGCTTGAGGGTGGGCCACAGGCCACTGCCCTCCAGCCCAGGGCACCCCCAGCCTCAAGATCTTCACGTCAGCAACTTTGTTCCTCCCCTGCCTGGTGACTGGACCCTTCCTCCCGGGCCTTTCCTGTCCTCCATTCTGGGTGGTGATTCTGTTCTTACAGAACACCTGGCTTCAAGGGATCCCTGGCTTTCCTGGCCCTATGATAAGGGTGAAGGAAGCAGGTGCAGGTCCCACTGGGGTTCTTGAGACACTGGGTAGGTATTCTCTCTGCTCAGCCACACTCAGGATGGGGTGGTGGGGTGAAGCGGCACCTGGCCTTGCCTTTTAGACCCCATCCCTAGGCACTGGGATTAATCCTCACTCCCACCCAGGCTGACTCTGGACTTGCTCTTGGATCCCTCCTTCGGTTCTCTGCCATCCCCCTCCACATCTGCTTCTCCCTGTGGTCTTTAGCTTGGCCTGAAAGGACAGAGGGACACAGGAGGTCAACTCGACCGCCCAGCTCTGAGGAAGGAGGGGCTCTTGCAGCCCCCAAGACCCCACCTGCTCCAGCCCTCCGACTGAACCCCGCACTGGGGGCCCGAAGCCGTCCAGGTGCCTCCTGTGCCCCCTCCCCCTGGGGCAGCTGGGTGCGACGCCGGCCACTTACCCCTGGCTGGGGCCCGCCCCCGCCCCGGTACCGGAGGTCACGTTCTTCCTGGTTGAGGGAGCTGAGCAGGGCCTGCAGGCGCTCAATGTACTGGATGGCGCTGCGCAGGATCTCCACCTTGGGCAGCCGCTGGTTGGGGTTGAGCAGGGTGCTCCTCTTCAGAGCCTCAAAGGCCTCATTCACCTTCTTGAGCCTGCGCTTCTCCCTCAGTGTGGCCGCACGCCGCCGGTCCACGGACACCGACTTCCTCTTACACACCTTGCACGCCCATGGCAGGCACTGGCCCAGGCAGTGCTCAGGGGTCCCCAGCCCCTTGTCTTCGAGGGGCCCTCGGGCCTCAGGGCTCAGGCTGAGCTCAGTCCGCTCGTAGCCCGGCGGCTCGAAGGCCTGGAGGTGGACGGGCAGGTAGTTCTCCCCGTCATAGAAGTGGGGTTCCTGGTAGAAGTAGGGGGATGTCTCATATAGCTCCATGGGGTCGGAAAAGACTTGTTCCTGCCACTGGCCCCCAGGCTCCTGCAGCCCCTCACGCCAACTGCTGGGTGCCATTTAAACCCTCCCTGCTGGCATGGGACCAGAGATAAATATAGCCAATGCCGCAGAAACCTGAGCCCCCCCTAAGCTGTTGCTGCACATCAAGACGTTTACAGTGGATTAGATGTGATTCCCCTTCCCTCTCCCCCCAGCCCCCACCCCACCCAGCCCGCCTGCCCCGGCCTGGGCCGGCTCCTGTGCATGGGGAGGGAGGCCGTCGGTGTAATTTGATTAGTTTTCATTTCTCAGCAGCCCCTGTGGGGCAGGGGAGGTGGGGGAGGACACACATTCTCTTCTCATCTGCTCCTTTCAATTACTCCTAGCCGGGCAGCCTGCCTGCTCTCTCCTTGCTAGTCCCAAAGAAGTAGGGGGGGCGGGGATTGAGGGGAGGGAACAAGGAAGGGCAGGGTTCAGGCTGGAAGGGGCCTTAAGAAGCCAAAGTATCCATCCCTCTGCTTCCTGACAACACCTTAAGCAGGCTCCATCAGTCAGAAGCATGAGACTGCTTCAAATTTGGGGGGGGGGGCGGTGTGGGCTCAATGTCCAGGGGTAAGAAGGGTTGAAACCTGGAGGGTCAAATGGCTTCAACTTCTGGGTTTCCATAGCAGCCTTGACAGCTTATGTCGCTTAGGTCTCCTGTGATGGGGGAAATTGAGGCAAGAGGAATTTTTTTTGGTCTTTTTGGCAGGGCTCGGTAGAGGTTTTCCCTTTAACTCAGCTGGTGAGGGGCAGAGCAAGAATTAGAAGTAATAGGCTACACCTTTTCCTCAGCGGCAAGGTCAAGATCTATTAAAGCCTCTGTCTCTTCCCTCTCTCCCTCTGGATCATTTATCTGTCCTTCTGTGTCACCTCTTCAACTCTGTGTCCTGCCCCATTGGGACACCAAGCTTTTCCTGAGCGGGTGGAGTGTGAGGGAGAGAACGCAGAACCTTCCAGGCACACTTTGAATCTCCCTTCTCCTTGACCACCCAGCTTGGTTATACCACACCTTCCTATCTAAGCCATCAGTTTTACACGTAGCATGTAGGTCTCAAATGTCAGGAGGAGGAGGGACTACTGATCTCCCAGATTTTCAGTCCATGGTCACCTCTCAGCAGAGTTTGGGGTCTGAGAGGGCCAATGCTTGCAATGCTGTGAGCAGTCCTGAGAGGCCAGCAGAGAACACATTCAGTCTTCAGGCTGAGGGGTTGGTCACAGGGACGCCCCAGGCAGGGTCTCTGCCCTCGAGGACCTTAACATGAGTAGACCCCTGTGGTTATCTAGGTCCACCCAACCTGTGATGCCTCATTCCCCTTCACAGGTGGCCATTGTCCAGATGACCTCACGAGGCAATCCATCCCACTGATGTGCAGCTCTGGCCACAGGGAGGTCTTCTGGGTCTTGAACTGCCATCTGCTTCCTCTTTTATTCTTTGGTCCCGATTTTTCCTCTGGGAACCCATGGACTAAGTCTGATGCATCCTCCACTTGACATTTGAGATTGATGTTATAAGTTCCAGCCAGTGGCAAGGACGATAAAAGGAGGAAGTTTCGTGCTGGTGCTGGCACTCAGAGGGTTTCTCAGGGGAGGGGAGATCCGAACGGAGCTTCACGGACCCGGATTTCCTGTTGCTCGCCGTCTGTGGTGAGGAGCCAGGAAAGTGCCAGTGTCTGTTTGGGGTAGGGAACAGAGATGAAGAGGGATTGTAGCTGGACAATAAAAAAACCCCACACATGTTGAGGAAAGCAATGGGGTCTTCACTGGGTTCTTGGCCTTACCAGTGTGGCAGCCTGGGGGTTATGGATTCTAAACCCTGCTTTGACCCCGACCAACTGGGTTGAAGAATTGCTATTTCTAACACATATCCTGCCAAGCAAAGAAAAACCTGGCCTCAGTTTACACTCCAGTCCTATGAGCCTTGGGAAAAGAAGGATGTCGAAGTTACTGTGGAAACCAAAAAATTGCGTCATTTTGTCCTTTTGAGATCCAATCTGCCTTGCCCCTAAACAGTGTGTTCGCGTCCTCTAAAAATGGAAGCGGGAGAGCTGGGCTTGTTCTGATTTCCAGGATCTTACTATCTGGTTGGCAAAGATGGACACTGAAACGTGAATGTTAAATTATAACATGAGAGAGAGCTATTTTAATTCAGCAGTAAACATAGGGGCTGTGATCAATTGCCAACGAGTGGGCTCATCCACCAAGCGTTTCAAGAGTTTATAGAAAGTCAGAATCACCAAGTCTGGGTCTCTGGAAGGCTTGAGGAGGAGGAGGGGACTGGGCTGGGTCTTGGAGAGCAGATGAGATTTACATGAGAAGAGAGGAAGGGGACATTGGCTGGAGGTTTTGTATCGCCCTTGCCCTCGGGGTCTGGTAAGTGGGCCATTGGACAAGTGTGTAAAGATGGGAGGAGGCCCATGGGGCGCCAGAGTGGCTCAGTTGGTTAGCATCCTACTTTGGCTTGAGCTATGATCTCATGGTTCGTGAGTTTGAGCCCCACGTTGGGCTCTGTGCTGATGGCTTGGAGCCTGCTTTGGCTTCTGTGACTCCCTCTCTCTGTCCCTCCCCTGGTTATGCTCTGTCTCTCTGTCTCTCTCTCTCAAAAAAAAAAATAATAATAATTTAAAAAAAATTAAAAAAAAAAAAAAAAGATGGGAGGAGGCCCAGCTGGGTGCGGAGGGACTGGAAAGCTGAGGCAAAGAGACCACCCAGAGAACCATCACAATAACCCAGGTGAAAGTTGCCGCAGGTCCAAGCAACCTACTTAGGCAGGAGGATGGATTTCACCAGGAAAGGATGCATGTTTCAGCTGGAAAAGGGATGGTGTGTATGTGTGTGTGTGTGATAGGAGAATGATGGTTGTATTAATGAAGGGGCACCTGGTACACGGAAGCACCCAATAATTGTTAGTCCCTTTTCTTACTTTGTCCTGTCCTCCACTCCTGGCCTCTCTCTCTCAGGATATTGCCTTGGCCATTAATGCCTCCAGGGGACCAGAAGAGCAGGAATGGGGGAGGGAAAGCCTGGCCCCCACCCCAGGTGTGTGTGTATATTTATTCACTCACTTTTAATCAAGAAACATATATTGCACATCTTGTGCTGGGCGTTGGGGTCACTGCTGTGAGTAAGATGTGGTCTTTGTGCCTGCACATAGTCACAGCTGGGTAAGGAAGATGAGTACACAAAGTTATCTAACCAAGGTAGGAAGTGTTAGTGGTAAAGGAGTAGTATACTGTAATCCAGAGAAAGAATTTATTAATTCTCCTTTTCATCGGCTGAACCCAGTTCCCTAGGAACCCACTCTGAGTCAGTCCCGGGGACTGGGATGGGACCTGTGTGAGAGCATGAATAGCCTCAGCACCTATGGGATTGCTGGGAGTTTGGCTTTGTGTGTGTAACATTTGCTTCTAACCAAATGTGAGTGTGAGGCTGCAGGGGAAGAGTGATCTTGTGTGTCCGGGTTTCAGTGAATCCCTGTCTGTAGATGTGCTTGTGCATGTCTGCCCAAGTAAGTGCCTGAGAACCACATCAGGGCCCTGCTGTGGGGAACATGCCCTCCCAGGACCGAGAAGATAGGGTGGCCCAGGTATCTCTCACCTCAAAGCCCTGATGCGGGGTTGGCCCTCTATCCACCTTGTTCCTCTTTCCTAGCTGAGCTGCAGAGCAGCCGCATCTAGGGGTTCGGCCTTCCTCCCCTGAAAACTCATCCACCCCATGCAGGCTGCCCTCTGATGGATGGGAACACATTGGTGCCCAGCACAGAACAGCCTTTGTGCTCCAGCACCAGCGGTGATCCATCAGCTCTAACCTGACAGCAGGGCGTCGGGCCCTAATCCCCACCCCTGCTGGCTTGGGCACTCAGGGCCCCCTGCCCTGACTGTAGCCTCCTCCAGCCGTCCCCTGCTCCCTCCAGAGAAAGCCCTTATCCCTGGCGGAGGCTCCAGGGCCAAGCTGTTTGTGTCCCCACCCTGTCTGTCTCAACTCCATTCTGTCTATTTGCCTGCTGGGCTGATCTCATTTGCATGGTTTCAAAATGCCCAGAAATCCCCTTCACCTGCCTTGTGGGTCCTTCCTTCCCCCTCTGCTACACCCTCAGCCCTACTGTCTGACTCCTAGCCTCTTTCGGTCCCTGCTGACCTCGCAGGTGGGCTGACCTGGGCTGCCATGTTGTTTGGCCAACATCAAAACAAGTTTCCCATTCTGGAGTCTCAAGTGCCTGGACATAGAGGAGCAAGAAGAAAGAGTCTGGCTTCTCCATATAGGCCCCACCTTTTGTTTTCTTAGCCTGGGTCTCTGGGTATTATGGATGGCAACTAGGGGGGCTTAAGTGGCAGGTATGTGTGTGCATTTCAAGGACCTAGATGCATGAACATGGCATATAAATCAGCTTGATTATTTGGGGGAGCAGTATCCTTGCAAGCAGGGTGACAACTGATCACAGAATCATAGAATATCAGAACTGGGAGGTAGCCTAAGTATTAGCTAGTCCGCCTTCTAACGTTCTACACACTGGAAAACTGAGGCCCAGAGGTGGGATGTGACTTGCCCAAGAGGGCACAGAGCACTAGTATCGGAAGTGTGAAGGAGGCCTGATTTCAGGTCTTAAGGCTGAATCCTGGTGCCTCGTCTCCCTCCCTGAGCCTGACAGATGAGGAACTTGCTTCAAGTGAGTACATGCTTTCCAGGTAGGAGGCAGTAAGGGAACCTGAGCTACTTTAGGCTTCGAATGGAGAGCCAGAGAGATGTGGAGAGATGAACAGAAGATAGGAGAGAGGGCTGGAGAGACCGAAGGAAGCCTGGGGGTGTGAGACAAGAGGAGAGGTCTAGAGGCAGATGGGAGCCCCAGCTGAGGGGTGAGGGGCAGCAGAGAGAGGGGGCCCTAGGCCTCCGAAGGCCACACATTGTTTCCATTGAGGACTGAGCATCAGATAACCACTGGGAAATCCGTCCCTGCCTGGAATCTGGAGCTCAGAGCCAGGCTCATTCATCAAGAATCCCTGGCCTTGGGGTGGGGGAAGGCGGAAGGGAATGGGTCCCCG